TGACCAATAATTCTCTCATCACGCTGCCAAAGCCACAAGCCCAAACTATAGCAAACAACATATGTAATAACCTATAATACTCTGCCCATTGAGCCGAATAGTCAGGTTGTCCTGTTTGAGGATTGATGGTCGGCCCGGATGAAGTAGTACTTGAACTTTGCGATGCTGCTGCAGCTTGGGCACCAGACTGAGGTACGTAGGTGTAACCCTGCATATTGCCATACGAGTTCTGGGCGTTAGCTGCTGCTGCTCCGGTGTAATACTGTCCGGCTTGATTTGCCCAACCGTTCCCAGCATCAGCTTGTTGACCTAAAAATGGTAGTGATGCATTCATGCATGACGCGATATTCATTCTTCTAACCGTATGTACCATATGTATTGTTCCAAAGGCTGGCACCATATTGCCCATTATACTGCGAAACACTAAAGTTACTACCGTTCGGCGCACCGGCGCCCGTGAAAGGAGGCACTGGAGTGCCTGGAGCAATATCGCCAACCTAGAATTGCCAAATCGTTACAGAAATTCCCAAAAAGATTTAGATTAAGCTTCAACAATTGGCTATTCTCGTCTAATCATACCTTGATTCGAATAATATGCTGTGCATGATGCACTTGATATGGAGTACCACGAATTATAAACACCTATAAAAGCGGCTAATCTTTTTGTTTGCTCAATCAATAGAGATCACTTACACCTACCTTTTCCTGGGGATTTGGTGGAGGATCGCGAGACAATTCACAGTGAGCACCACTTTCCGCATTTATCTAAAGCAGTAAATACCTAATGAAAAAAGCAGCTGTACTTAGGCATTTTGTTCGGATTATAACAAACCTGCTTAATAGTTTCTCCTCCTTTACCTATAACCAGACCCGTCTTGTTGGATGGGACGTGCATATAAAAAGCCTGAAAGAACTATTTAGAAGTAGATGTCTACCGCAATCATATTGTTTGTTCCTTCTAAAGGTAAAAGTATGCGGACACAGCGAGAAGCAACTTTACTTCATGTCGTGTCAAAGGTGCAAAACTATCAATTCTAAAAAGCAGGAAAAAGCAGATTCAGAGTTGGTTGCCGTGATACAAACAGATAAGGAAGGGAAAGAAAATAAGAAAAAAGCTTGTGAGTGTCACAAAAAAGGTAAGCCGTTATGTGATAAGATAGTGGTGGCATAAGGCTCTGTATTTATAGTTTACACTTAAGCACGAGAAATATCGCAAAGTTATGTTATAGCCGCTGATCAAAAAAAGGCGGACACAAGCGTTAAGAATGAGTGTGGCTAGCGAAACTCGTGACTTTCATTGAAAATAAGCGTTGCATTTACCTTGCACATAACATGACACAAACGGACTACAATAGTTCACAAGATTATCTCAAAAGTCTGGCATCAAAGCAATCAACTGTGCTAATCTTCTAACAAGCTCTCCGATATGCACTATGTTT